GACTGACTGACTGACTGACTGACTGACTGACTGACTGACTGACTGACTGACTGACTGACGGACTGACTAAAAGTTTAAATAATTTTGTTTTTTTTTGCTTTAAAAAAGAAAGTATAAAAATGATTTTAATGGTTCCTTGCATATATGTGTAACATCTTCCGTTTACACATGTTGTTTTAAGGTAGTTGTTATCTGACACTGATAATTTTCTACCAACTCATTATCATTTTATTACCTGATGTATTTATCGTCCCACTGACTGTGTTTGAAAGTCGATGAAATAAATTAAGGGCTTGATCTTGGAAATGGCGCATGACACGATTTACTTATACGCAATGCAAATGGTTTGGTCAGTCGGATGATTGACTCAGATCCTGCTTTTGGCACATAACCGAAGCTCACTTACCTCATCTTGAAGAAAGCCCGTGAGACACTGGCTGAAATGTCAGTAGTGGTCAGTCATTCAATTAATGAAATAGTGTGCATTGTTCATAAACAGCCGTTGTTTACACTGTTTTTAATATATTCAGCAGTATGCGAATCTTGTACCCAGTCATTGTATCGATCTACTCCTTGTTTTGCAAAGTAGAAGTTAAGCAATTTCTTCGGTTTCCTATAAGAACGCTTCATCGAAACGCTGGACAGTTTCGGAGGTGCAATTGGTTCCAACAGACAGAGTGTTTAGTCACCTGGTTACTACGACGTATTCCATTACGGTGCATGCGGAGCAATAATATAATTGCTGAGCCACTCATGAAAGTGTGACAGTCTTTCAGGCATCATTTCATGATTTTCATTCAGTTCAACAGCGTTTCGCAGTCAAGAGGGAACACAGTATCTCTCTATGTCCGTTCAAGCCTAAATGTACGTACTTCCAGATGTTTGACAATAGCCAATCCACCTTCAGACTGATTTGGTTTGCTTTTTGTCGTCTTTTCCCGAAAACGGCACGGCACCAAGTGTGTGGGATAGTGACACCGACAAATTACTGAACGTCAACTCATGATTTACCACGTGGCGCACCTTTTGATTGAGTTACTATATCATCCTTACGATCGTAATGACGCCTTTACACCTCAATAATGGATATTTTGCAAACAAATCGACAAAGTAAGTAAGGAAACTCGCCGGGCATTCTGTTCGTTGTCTACTAGTCAAGCAAATTCAATTACGGCTTCAAGCGGGCTCAATGCCTGATTCGTTGCCTCGTGAAAAGCTTCAGCTTAACAGAAAAACGTTAAACCCTTTAACTGCATTGAAGCGTCCGCACTCGATAGGGGTGGTTCACGTCTACAATGTTTTGCACCACGTTTGGCAATTTTCAGTGAATACGAAAAGGACGGCATTCTTCGAAACTTCCTGTCTAGCCTATATTGCTGTCTTGATAACAACTTTTATGCATATTTCCAAAGTCAAATATTGGCATATAATAAAAACGACCGGATACTTCTCGTTAGACAAGTAGATTCCTCTTGGAGCAGAAAGACTCGTAGCCGAGAGCGAATAAATTTTCAATAAATAGCCACAAGGTTGCTCAGATTTTCAAATAAGACTGGATATGTCATACCTGCGTTGAACGAGTGTAACTTATTTTGTTTCATCCAAAAGTCATCTTTGTAAATGCCAAATTAGGTTACAAGAGAGGTTTCTGCTAATTCTGCCTAGCAATGTGGAACCGGTCGACGTCGGTGTTAAAAAATTTACTGCTACAGTAGAGAAAAGCAGCTATCGACTTCTCAGAGGTCTAACGTGGCGCATGATTGCAGAAAAGGAATAGTGTAATCGTTGACGGAGCCGTCAAACTGCATCACATACAAATTATTTACGGCCGTCACTGAGAGGTTGCATATATTAAAGTTTTTCACCCATTGACAGAAGTTTAACCAAGGCGGAACTTAAGCGATTTTCGACTCCTTTCAGCAATCCACTAAAAAATAGAGCAGGAGAGCGAAATCGATGTTTTCGAAAGCGATCTTCTTAACTCCTACCAAATTCGTAATTGATGATCATCCGCCTTCATCGATCCACTGCTTGGTGAAGGCCTTTCCAATACGTTCTGTTTCATTCATAAAGTTATGTTTTCGGTGATTCATACCCACCTGATGAATTTCTTTGCCGATCTTTACCATCCGTCCAATGGTAGAACATCGATCAGGCGCAGGAAATAATCGAGAGAATCTATTTAACACGTTCGTATCACCTGCTCGTCATGATCATCACTCTTCGTCGATATCCGTACTGACTCCAGTCTTGATCATTCACTCGCTGAATGTCAGAACTTCCCTCGTAATGAACTAACAAAGACTGAAAGTTTTATTGTTTTAATTAATTCACTGAAGAACATTATTGTTCTGCATTCATACAGGAAAATAAAGCAGATATATAAATATAATAATCAATAAATTGAAGCTGGAAACAGTATTGCAAACATATCACAATTAATAAGGGGACAGTGGTTTATGTTTAACACTAGCGTTGTCACAAGTAATGCTGTTTGACTGTGCTGAAGTCCATGACAAACACGTTGAAGTTGGAATAATGCGCCGTCTGCAGCACCCTGTCTAAGAAATTAAATTAATAGACGTGGACCCGGTAGGTGTGTCACTCGACTGATACTGCGCAAGGCTCACATGTTAATGATCGTCTTTATGCTTAGAATGTCACCCTCAATAGAACGCTGTTTTTGACATCTGATTCAGCCAAACGGCTTTAATCCGTTTCAGTTAATCCAACTGAGTCCTGAAACAAATTTCCTAACTGTTTAAAGATGCACATAAATATATCATGAAAAACAACCGTGGTTGCACATGTGTACAAGTGCAGAATGCACTTGAAGAAAAAATTCGTGGTTGTCTCTCTCTACGTTAGCAATACGTTCACCCACTCACATGCAAAACGTTACGTATCATTGATTCACTTAATTGAACATGTCGGTGTCATATGATGCCAATTGACAAGATGGACCCAAAGAATCCGAGCGCTGTACTTTAGCGCTAGCTTACGGCGCCGATGTGCAGGATTCTAATCGGTTGATCGGTCAGTGCTTGTTTTACCATTACACAGCAAAACATCCATTTTTATTTATTTTCTCTCTAGAATTAGTAAAATTCATTGACGGAAATATATGCTTTCTACAGCTGTATTGCTCAGATAATGTTGATTTGTATCACTGATCTACGATATACCGTGAAATTCCACCATGTGTTGCAATATAGTGGCAAATTTCTCAAGAATAATTGGTACATATGACTCAACTTGTGCTCACAGCAATATAAATTGTTACCAGAGAAATTTCTAACCATTCCCGAACCAAGTTCACGTTAATGGCGGGTTTAAAAGTAGAATACAATATTTTAATATTGAAGACACAATATTCGCCTAACGCTGACTTTGTTTTATCTGTGTGCCATCGTCAATTATGTTCCATGCGACCATGATGCTTAATCTAACGATTTTCAAGGTGCAGCAGGCGGGCATAGGCTTAGGCCTGTTCAGCTGTATCACTAAACATCTACAACTAAAGAGATACATCTAAACGAATACAAGTGTGCATCGTATAAATCATTCCAATTTCGATATTGGCTACTAATTCCAATTCAATTTTGATTATATTCCAATTTTTATGTTCCGCGTTTCGGACAGTAATTGCAAGCACTGAGCTCATGCAAGTAGGCTCATGGTTGCAATTCATGGTCGTACTATTGCACCACGACCAAAAACGCTCAACGGTCTTGTTGTGTTTTAGCACAAACAATGTGAGAAATTGCGCCTTCGTGTTACGAAATTTTTTAAATATGATCCAATGGATTGAATGTTGAACAGTGCTATATTTATCGTGCATTCAAAGATTCCTTTTTCGAGAGCTGATGTACGAAACATTAACTGTCAACGCTGCAAGCGTTTACCAAGTCACTTGAGTCAGATTGCGTTGAACGCCTTTTCGTCGTTGACAAAAGCAGCGCATAAAAGAAATGTCTGTTCCTTCGAGTGCGTTAGTTGTTGATTCACTATAAAAACGCGGTCTACTTTACTAGAGCCATTTGGAAACTCTACATCACATTTCTGATGCTGGTCATCAAGACTGCTTAATAACCGACACACTAAGATATTGCTGAACAAATTGTAGATGCTTAAGTGCACAATCACTGTGCGACAGCTACTTAGATTATAAGTATTTTTCGTGGTTGCTCTACTTTGCAGCTGAGAATCAGAATCATGTTGTACTGCTTCCAGCTTTACAAATTTCTCCTCATTTCTAAACGTCTTTAATATATCGTACTCTTCGGGAGTCTCCTGAATAATCTCTATCTTGAGTAATCTGTTTAATTGAACGATTTCACAAAGTTGCTGTTACTGCCTTCGGATGCTTTCTGTCACCATATTTTCGATTTTTCACCGTAGTTTGCTAAAAAATTTATTATATCTTAGTAATCAAAGGAATTTATTTAGATTTTGATAACACTATAGGCAAACATCCAACACTTGACTATATTTAATGATTACTGTTGGTGGCAAATCCTTGATAGAAAATTAGCATATCGTTTAAGTGGTGGGTGTGATGGTATACGGAAGGTTTTACCTGATGATTTTAGAAATACGGTACTGCTTTTTTTTAAAGTGTAATGTAGTTTAAAGAGATGTGTGATACGCTGGGAAATGGTGCCGAGCCCAGGATGCAGGCTAACGCTCCGCCCGTGGATAACAATGTTTGCATGATATGCAATGAAAGTTTCTTTTCCAAGCGCCGAGTCAGCGAACATATCCGAGAGGTACATGGAATCGCGAGGCCTTTCAGCTGCGACATCTGCCGAGCTCGCTTTCCGTATGCGTCGTCCCTGTATAATCATTCCAGAATTCATTCTGACAACCGTCCGTTCAAGTGTTCCCTGTGTACGGCAGCTTTTCGATGGAAGAACAGCCTCAAACACCATAAGGCGTTCATACACAAGGTAAATGTTTCTCTGATAGTGCGCGTGCGCAGGATGCTACTATTTGCAGGATCGATGTCGTTTAGGAGCAGGGCAATAAGATTGAAATGGTTGTCAAGCAGCTGAGACTTGTTGCATCTCAAGGACAGAAGGTTGTCAAGTATCCGACAGGGCAAGGTGGTGTTGGTTCCAACTCCGGTGTCGGACAATCCGGGGGACAGTGTTCGTCGTCATCGTCAGCCACTGCGACTGTAGCGAGTGACCATCAGCCGTTGCAGCAAGAGCAACACGCGAATGTTGCATCGTCGCCATCAAGGTCGTCGTTTATGACCATGGTGACGCCGGCAGTCAAGAACGGCAGGAGGGAGTCGTCCAGTAGGTCCCGTCATGGTTCCCGACTGGTGTCCATTGCACCAAAGCCGTTGTCCTCGTTATGTTCTTCGTCGGCCGCCACCGCGATGAGTCTAGGTTCGCTGGCAGCAGCCGCCGCCGCCGCCGCCGCCGCTGCCGCTGCTGTTGCCACCGCCGAGCAAGGAGGGTGCGTCCCGCAGACGCAGGCGTCGTCGTCGACGACGACAGCGGCAGCGGCAGCGGCGACGACAGCGGCAGCGACGGTCGTCGACGACAAGGCGCAGCGGGTGACCCCGGGCTTTTTGATATCGCTCACACGCCACGTGTCCAACACGAACTCAGTGAACTGCTGTTCGCAGCCGGTAGATGTGAAGTGTTCTTCGGTGATTTCTGCGCATCAGCTTGAAAGGCGCAAGGACGGAGATGACCACGACGTTTGCGGCGGTTACGCATCTGCCGCCGGGGCCGGCAACGGCGCCAGAGGCGTCGCTGACACCGACGTCGAGATGTTACAGCCACTACAGCCGCCCCTGCCTCGTCCGCCACTATACGCCATTATTGACCCGCTGTTAGATGACGACGACGAGGACGAGGACGAAGACGGCGGCGGTGGCGGTGGCGGCGGCGAGGGAGACGAAGACAGCGGCGGCGGCGGCGACAGAACGGACACCAAACGAAAACGAGTGACTGCCGCCGCGCCGCAGTCGTTGTCGCATGTTGCGACGAACAGAAACGGCGGTGATTTGCCGCCGCCGCCACCGCCGCAGCCTCAGCCTCAGCGACGCCGTTGTTGCGACCGGGCGACGGACGACGCGTCGCGCGACTTTCCGGCCACCGCATCTGCCGCCCACTGCTCTTGCGCTGAACTGCTGGATCGATTGCAGGGTTTTGAGAACTCGTTTTTGCAGTTCAAGTCGAACGTCGACGAACGCTTGACAGCCCTCGAAGAAGCGGTCACCGCGGTCGTTGTCGCTGCCGCCGCCGTCGAAAACGTACCGCCGAACACCACCACCAGTACGTGATCAGTGACGTAGGTGTGCGACATACCATCAGCCAGTTAATGTGACTGTGACTAGATTGTGATGAAGTGAAAAGTTTGCACAACAGCCATCACGCGTAGTTCCATCGTCGTTGTCGCGCTGCGCCGTCGCGTCGCGTTGCGTTGCGTCGCGTCACGTCGCGTCACGTCACGTCGCTTCGTTTCGCCTTTGCCAACCTGCGTCTCTGTTGCTTTACCGTTAGTGCGCCAAGAGCAGTTGCTGTCGCACGGCTGTGCTGCCGGTTGGTTGGTCTCCACCGACTTATGTTTTAAACATTGAAGCTCGTATTTTACTCTAGTTGGCACACCATCTTCGCCGTTTCTGGTTTCTGTTATTTCTGTTTTGCAGGATACCTGAATATTTGCATTTATGTGTGCCCTTTGCGAGTCATACTAGGCTTGCCGTATATGAATAACCGCTAGTACTGCTGTTATTACCGATCTGGCACCTTGCATTGCCGTTGTAGTTTCGCTTTAAACATGTCAGTAAAATTTTATTACGTCATCGTTGAACTTTTACTGCCCACAGTAGCCGCGTGACAATTCGCAATCGTAATGTGCCCTTTAGTCTTTTAAATGACTACCGAAAAATGTTTTGTTTCTTTTTTCTTTTTTAGCAACTTTTTTCTGTTGCGGAATGTCGTCGTTGAACGTCGCAACGCTGCTGGCCACACCATGAACTTATGGTCAAAACTTTTGCTGGTCTGCGTCTTCTCTACACTGGCCATCTTCATAATCGTTTCTCTGCTCAGTCATGGATCTCCTGACAAAGGTAATGCTGTCTTCTGTTTCCGTAGCACGTCATCCGTACCGTCAACCTTCGCACCCGCCCCTTGGAAAACCAGCGCTATAGCAACAATAACAAGCAATACGGTTCTTGCTTTGTGCTTACTGTCACACGGGATAGTCAGCTATAAGATGACTCAGGCCGATCAATAGCCCTTAGAGGCGATCCCATTACATTCAGACAGCACGGCCGTACCTTACATCCATTATGCTCTGACCACACCAGGATACCTTGCCGTCTCTGCTGTTGGTAAGTCAGCGACTTGCTAATCGTTTCTTGGTCGGTAGCACCAAAGCCATGTAGAGTGAACTTGTTGCTCAAGCAATTAACGGTTAAAAGAATTTTGTTTCTTTTCTGGAATTCTACCCCGACACCTTTGCAGTTCGAAACTGCCCTTTCGTCACTATGCCACTGCATCGCAAGGGATCATACGGCAAGATAAGTACCGCATCGTATATCTGTTAAGTAAGTTTCGATGATCGCTTTTGTTTTCGGGTCGCGGAAGCGGACGCCTCAGTATCTCCAACGTTTGTGATACTGTGCCAGCGTTTGAACATTGGCGACAGATAACCAGGTCTGGAGCACAGCTCTATCGATGCACTAACTAACCCCCCAGATTATTCTTGGCCATCCCTACGGACTTCAGTCGGTCAGTTTAGCAAGTAGTACCTGTTTTGCCTTTCTCTC